TACCCAGCAAAGCTATCACTCAGAATCGAAGGCCAGATAAAGAGCTTCACTAATAAAAAAGAGCTAAAGGAGTTCATCACCGCCAAACCAGAATTATATGAATTGCTGAAGGGGGTTCTTTCAGAAGAGAAAGTAAACAAAGATAAAAATTATGAACAACAAATACGTAACTATCAACAAGTGAATCTAAAAACCAAGGAAATTAAAAAAATCTGATGAACAATATTAACTGTTGAATATAATAGAATCAGAGGTATGGAAGGGGAGTGAACTGATGATTCTTGGGGAAAAGGGGAGAGGGGGGCGTGGGAAGAGACTGAACATAAACTGTGCACCTATGGATGAGGACAATGGGGAGAGGGGAAAAGGGTGGGGTGGGAACCTGGTGGAGGAGAGCAATGAGGGGGGGGGGGAAGGAACATTTGTAATAATATGAACAATAAAAACTTATAAAAAAAAATAAAAAAAAAAATAAAAATTAAAAAAAAAAAAAAACAAAAAAAACAAACAAAAACAGCAGTCCCCCTCCCCCCGTGTTTCCCATTTCAGAGGCAGTCATCTTTTCCTTGGCTTTTTAATTTTATATTTACCAGTTTTCAAATCACATACTTGTTCATTTCCCCCCCTCACTTAATATGTTGTCCTCAGACAGAGTATGTATCAGATATTAAACTGATAGGAATAGGTACTACACTTAATCTTAGCCAAAAGAACGAGAAGCAATTACTTATTTATTTTTATTTGTTTTAATGCCGTTAACATTTTTATTTATTTTAGAGAAAGAGGAAAGATGAGTTGTTCCACTCATTTATGCATTCACTGGTTGTTTCTTGTATGTGCCCTGACCCAGGATCAAACACACAACCTTGGTGTATCTGCGAGGTCTCAGCTGGGGGCTGGATAGGAGCTGGGGATCCACTCCCTGAAGCAGCTCTCACAGGATGATAACTGGCTTCTCCACAGGCTGCTTTAGCTTCTGAACAACATGGCAGCTGGATTCCACGAGACAGGAAGAAGCTACCAGTTTTTCTTCCTTCCTTCCTTCCTTCCTTCCTTCCTTCCTTCCTTCCTTCCTTCCTCCCTCCCTCCCTCCCTCCCTCCCTCCCTCCCTCCCTCCCTCCCTCCTTCCTTCTCTTTCTTTCTTTCTTTCTTTCTTTTTCTTTCTTTCTTTCTTTCTTATTTTTTTAAAAAAATATATTTTATTGATTTTTTACAGAAAGGAAGAGAGAGGGATAAAGAGATAGAAACATCGATGAGAATCATCGATCAGCTGCCTCTTGCACACCCTCTACTGGGGATGTGCCCACAACCAAGGCACATGCCCTTGACCGTAATTGAACCGGGGACCTTTCAGTCTGCAGGCCGACGCTCTATCCAGTGAGCCAAACCGGTTTTGGCTCTTTCTTTCTTTTTTGTAAAAAATGTTTTATTGATTTCAGAGAGGAAGGGAGAGGTAGAATCATTGATTAGCTGCCTCCTGCACAACCCCTACTGGGGATTGAGCCTGCAACCCAGGCATGTGCCCTTAACCGGAATCGAACCTGGGACCCTTCAGTCTGCAGGCTGACGCTCTCTACTGAGCCAGGGCTGCCAGTTTCTTATGGGCTTAGAAACTGGCCCATTGTCACTTTGCACATTAATGCCTGTTAGCAGCTATAGGGCCTGTTCAGATTCAAGGGAGGAAACATAGATTCCACTTCCAATTAATGAATTTAGCTGAGGTATAATCGACAAATAGGAACTGTACATATTTAAGGTGTAAAACTTGATATTTTGATACATGTATCCACTGTGAAATGATCATCATAATCAGGTTAATCAACATTCTCATTCCTTACCTCAAAATCACCATTTTCTCTTCATGGTAAGAACATTTATGATCTACCCTCTTTACGATGGCTGGGTATCTTAGTTGGTTAAAGTGTCTTTCCAATATGCCAAGATTGCACGTTTGATCCCAGTTATCCTCACGACCATAAAAGAATCAACCAATGGCCCAGCCGGTGTGGTTCAGTGGATTGAGTGTCACCCATCTACCAAGAGGTCACCAGATGGATTCCTGTCAGGGCACATGCCAGGGTTCAGGCTCAATCCCCAGGAGGGGGTATTCAGGAGGCAGGAGAAACATCTCTCATCAATGTTTCTCTCTCTGTTTCCCCCCTCTCTCTTAAAGCACACACAAAAAGGAATCAACCAATGAATGCATAAATAAGTGGAACAAATCAATTTCTCTCTCTAAAATTCAATCTATAAATTTTTTTAAAAATTATTAAAAAGAAAAGATCTAGCCTCTTAGCAAATTTCAAGTGTACAACATATTATATATTGTTACCTATATCCCATGCTGTACATTAGGTCTCCAGAACTCAATTCATTTTCTCATCGAAACCTTCTACCCTTTGACCTCCATCTCCTAATTCTTTCCCTCCTTCCCACCATTCTATTCTCTGCTTATATTTTGGATTAGACACCGCATATGAGAACACACAGTATTTGTCTTTCTGTGCCTGGCTTACATCACTCAGTATAATATTCTCTAGTTCATCCATGCTATCATAAATGGCAGGATATCGTTTATATTTATTTTTAAAGTATTTTTTAAAGTATGTTTTTATTGATTATAGAAAGCGAGGAAAGGAGTGGGAGAAAAACATGGAAGTGAGAGAGAAACACCCGTCAGCTGCCTCCTGCATGCCCCCTACTGGGATTGAGTCTGCAACCTGGGCATGTGTACTCACTGGGAACTGAACAGACGATCAATTGGGCACAATGCCCTACCAACTGAGCCACACTGGCCAAGGCAGATATCCTTTTGCAAGCCTGAATAATATTCCCTTTTATATATGTACCACATCTTTTCCCCCCATTTATCTGCCGACAGACACTTAGGTGTGTCCTTACTTTGGCTTGATCACGAGGACCTGTTTGCTCACTTGCTGGGTGTCAGCATTCTCCTAAGCCCTCTCTGCCGTCTCTTTGAGCTCCCTGTCCCCAGGAGTCCAGCCTCTGCCCTTCACTCTGTCCTATCTTTTCCCTGCCCCTGTCGTTTTTGTACCCACTCCCTGGCCAGAGCACTATAAACCTCGGCTGTCATTCCCACATCTATTCCTTGGTAATTCCTGTCACTGTGGCCCCCAGCTTCTCAATCCAACTACCCCTCCCTCCATCCCTGCAGGGATCTTGGCCGCAGCCGCCATACAGAACCCCACGTTCTATTCTCAGCGCGCAGCTTGGAGGGCGGGGAGGCGCTGGCTTGTGTACCTCCTTGGCTCAAATCCTAGGAAAATCCTCACGACCATCTGAAAAACCTAGGTGAGTCTTCAGCTCCTCGGCTCTTCCAGCTCATTCCAGCCCAGGGCTCTGCCCTCGCGCCCCTCCACTGACCACCACACTCCGGCCTCAGGGTCTGTGCCTGCAAATAGCCACCAGGCTGCTCCGAGGCTGCTGTCCACACATGGCCTCCCTTCCCTGCTTTACCTTTCGTGCCATCACTGCCACCCGCCACACTAGAAATGGGGCACCCCTCCTGAGCCTCGGCGCTCTGAGCGCTGGCACACGGCGGACACCCGCTGTCGTTGGATAAATGAAGGAGGGAACAGAGGCCACGTTGTGTCCTGATGAAACCTTCAAGGGCTCTGCACTGCCCAAAGGAGAGTGCGCACTCCGGCAGCGGAGGCTGGAGGTGACCCACCTGCTCCTGCCCCTCCAGCACCACCTTGCACGCCCCTGGGCACTCTGGTCCTAGCGCCTCAGACCTTCACTGCTCCTCTCAAATTCCTTCAAGCCTCAGTTCCTTTGCCATCTTTTTCTGGGTGCTATTCCATTGTGGTTGGGAATATGCCCCCCAGACCCGGAACTTTGCTAGAACCTCGCTATGTGGAGACTTTTTTGAGTCTGGAGACTCTGTTAAGAAGCAAACAAGTCTTTGTTATCTTTTTTTAAAATTTTTTATTTATTTATTTTTATTTTGGGACTCTTCCTTTTTGATGAGATTTTGGGTCTCATCACCCCTTTTGTCAACATTCCCCAAGCATGGGGCAACAGAAGGGGTTGTCTTCCTTTTTGGACCCATGGGCATGGTCCCACCCATGTCCTGCATGTGTGGGTGCAGAAGGTGGGCCCAGGGAGTGGGTGTGGAGGAGGGCAGATGCCTGGCTGGGCAGTCTTGCTACGTCACCTGGCCCAGAGACCTGAATCCATTCTGGGGGCAGTTTCCACTCCTGTCAAATGGGGCGGTGGTGGTGGATGGGGCTGCTATGGCCCTTGTGATTCTAGGGACATCAAGGCCTGGCCAGCAAAGACCTTCCTCGCTGACCAACCTGGCTACTCCTCATGGGCCTGGAAGGGCTGCGGCATACGGAGGGATGTCTGCTGGCCGGGCCCATGCTACCCCCCACGGAGGCCCAGCTCTCTGACCCACTGCTCCTGGAGGGTATGCCCCCTGGGGCGCTGCTCTGCCCTCAGTTCCCAGGCTCTAGGGGAGGCCCTGGGGGATAACAGCAGAGAGGAGGGCTGCTCCTCAGGCGGTGGGGTAGTTGAGGGGCTGGGGTCCGGACCTCACCCTGGGCTCTCACTGTTAGGCCACCCAGGCTAGGAAAGAACCCAGAAATCTCCTCTTCCAAATAACAAACCACCAGACGCCCTCCTCTTCTCTTCCACATACTGGGTTCTAGAAGCCTCTGGGGACAGGAGCAGAAAGGGGATGGTGGCCCCTGGGGCAGTTCTGAGTAGCAGGATGGACAGACTGAAGGTTGACTGAGATGTTAGAGGAGGAGAGAAGGGAACAGGGGGCAGGGACAGACACGTGTCCTTGGTCCCCTCTGGCACCAGGCCAGTGCTGGATGGACAATGAACCACAGCCCACTGGTGACAGACTACAGCAGCCATGCCCAGGCCCTGCGAGGCCCTCCTAAAGGTACTGCGCTGAGTTTTCCTTTGGAGAACATTCACTATAACTAGACCAAACGAGCTTGTTACCCGCCCCCCCCCGCCCCCCCCCCCCCCAATGAAACAGCACGGTGAAGCCAGTCCTTGGTCACCATGGTTCTCTAGTTTCTGGCAGCTACTGGGGAAGCCAACCTGTGGTTCCCCAGTTTGGTGAGGAAGGAGCAGGGGCTGTGGCCAGGCTGCTGGGGACAGTGCTGCCCAGGGGCCTGCCATCTCTGTCCCTGCGTTCCTGAAGATGGTGGTTGGCATCCGTGGATGTCAGATGCTGACAGGTGACTAGGCCAGAGGGTGGGGCTGGAGGGGCCATTGGCCAGGCTGGGCCACCAGGAGCCCATTTCTGCTCCCTGGTTGGGAAGGCAGTTTGAGGGCCCCTCTCATGTCCCACAGGCCCAGCCCCCACTTTGTTCCCAGGCTCCTTGATGCTGCCAGGGTGAAGACTGGGACGGAAGGTGTGCTTAAGTACTAGCTTGCACCAAGGGTAGTAACGGGGCCAGAGCTGTACTGGGAAGAGGGGACGGGGGTGTTACAGAACCACTGCCCCATCTGGGGTCTGGCAGGCAGAGAGGCAGTGGTGGGGGCAGGGATGGGTATAGCCATCAGCAACAGGGATGGGTGAGCTGCCGCCTGGATACTAATGATATTTCTAATCAGCCAGAACGAGGCGCTGGCATCCATCGGCCAGGTGGCTAGCTCTGTGAACCATCCTGGAACTGACAGGAAGGCTCCAGAGAGTGGTGACCCAGCTTAGCTGTGACGGGTGGAGCCCGAGCCAGGGGCACCCTGCCAGCCCGGCCTCCCCCCGCGCCCTGTACGCCAGGCTGCACTTCACACCTGGTTTTATTCCATGACTGATTTGCTGGACCCCATTTCCTGGGCAGGGGAAGGCAGTGGGTGGCCTGGCAGGAAGGGGGGCTGGCCTCCCAGGAGGGCGGTACCACTCGACTCTGATAAGCAATGGCCCGTCCAGCCCCACCCTCTTCCCTCCAGTTCATTTAAAAACCGAGCTGCAAAAGTAAAATAGAGTGAAAAAATAAAAACAAAACCCTGAGATGTTAAAAACCAAATTAAAAATCCCCTTTGGTGTCAAAATGTCCTATTCCTAAAAGCCAGTGGGTGGGGTAGGCAGTAGGGTGGTGGCTTCAGTCCTCCTGCTCATGGTCATGGTCACAGTCACACTCCTCCTTGTCCTGCAGGCCCAAGAGGTCCTCGGTGCCCGGCCGCTTCAGGATGGCGCTGTACTTGAGGGCGGCAGCCTCTGCCCGCAGCACCACCTCCACCAGGCTGAAGATGGTGATGACCTGCAGCACAGAGTCCGGCAGTGACACAGGTGGGTCTCAAGGGGCTGCCCATGGGACGGGAGGGTCAGGGACAGCTCTGCCACTATCTGTCCAGCAGGGTGCCTGGGACCACTCACTCTGCCTCTTTAGGCCTCTGTTGCCAGTCTGAGAGCTGAGCCCACTCAAATACTGAGGCCCTGGGGCCCTGGCACACAGTGAGCACTCGGTATAGGCAGACGGTGGGGTCTGGGCTGGCCTCGGGAGCATGTTTAGGTAAAAACTGTTATACAGAATTTCTTGGGCAGGAGGTCCATGGCTTTCACCAGATTCTCGAAGCTTAAAGGCCCTGTTTTAAAGAGCCAGGCAGAACCTCCCCTCTCTGTGCCTCTCTTCACAGAGGATGTCCCCAAGGGAGGGAGGTGGTACCAGAAAGCTAGGAGGGGATGTGGGTGAACTGGTGCCCACCAGCGGGGGCCTGGGTGCAGGGGAGAGGGCGGGGCCGGGGCCACAATGGTGGTCTGGGAAAGCAGCGCCAGCCCTGGGTTCTGACCTGCTGCACTGGTTCCTGCTCCATGTCCTCAGGATCCCAGACAAGTGTCAGCACCGGCTTCTTGCCCACCTTCCGGAAGTGGTGGGACCGCAGGGGCAGGGCCTGGGGGTGCAAACAGCTGGGTCTCAGGCCCTGGGCCTGGATGCAGCCTCCTAACCATTGACCCTGCAAAGCCCTGACTGACCTCAAGGGAGCTCCCTGCCCTGACCCCCACCCAGTAGCTGGCTGCTTGACATTCTGGGGGTACCATCCCCATCCTCACCTCTGGGCAGCTTCAGGGAGGCCCTGCCTGGCCATCTTTGGCTGGGGCAGGACAAGGCCAGTACCTAGGCTCAGTGTGTTATTCGGGGGAAGTAGCGGGTTTGTCCAGGCTCATCAGGACCTGGGCCTGAGGTGGAGCAAGCATCTGAGGCTGGAGGGCTGCTGCCCCCTGCTGGCGCTGGATGTTAGCACAGACTGAGGGCTGGGTTGTCTACAGCAGTGTTTCCCAACCTTCTCTCATGATGAGAATCACCTGGTGGAGTTGTTAAAACACAGATTCCTGAATCCCAACTAAGAAGTGCTAAACTAGAATTTTTGAGAACATATAGGTAAAATTGCATACCTAACTTAGTGCTCTGTATATAAAATCTGTCTTAGAGCACTAGTTAAGTATACAATTTTACCTATATGTTCCCAAAAATTCTAGTTTAGCACTTCTTAGTTGGGATTCAGGAATCTGTGTTTTAACAACTCCACCAGGTGATTCTCATCATGAGAGAAGGTTGGGAAACACTGGTCTACAGAGATGATCTAGAATCCAGCTCAAAGTCAGGACTTAAGGACGAGAATGCTGATTGGTTCCAGCTGGTCTCTGTTCTGTCTCTTCTGTTTTACTCCATGTTAATATCATGTTTATTCTACTATGTGCTGGGTTCTGCATACCCCAAAGTGTTTTGGATGTTAATGACAAGGTAGGCTGAAACCGCTCCGTCAGGTGGCCTTAGACAGGCACCAAGAGCCTGGAATAAATAGCCATCGGAGCAAAGGCTGGTCTCTTCCTTTAGTTTAGGGGCATCACTTTCAGAGAGGCATTGGACCATTCATTCTGGTCTTTTCTTCTCCCATGTTCTTATAAAAAAAATCTCACAAAGACTGTATACCCTGCCATCCTGCACTGGTTATGGAGGCACCTGTTTTCTGGGACCTTGGAGAAGAAGACCAAGCCTGAACCCTGGCCTGGACCCCCTCTCCCAGAGAGCACAGTTGGGTATCTTGGCAGGGCCCATGGGAGGGCTTGGTGCTGGTCTGGGAGCGGACCAAGGTCAGGGGCCCCATACCCTCTGCCTCTGTGTGCCAGCAGAGCCCACATCTGAGCGAGGGTGCAGTGCAGTCATCACCAGAGCTTGGATCCCCAGTGAGGACAGGGACAGCAGGGTCCTCGCCGGTGCTCCCATCCCCCATGCTTATATGTCCACTAAGGGCTGTCCCTGGGCCAGGATCCCCCACCCCCACCTCAGATGCTAGGAAAATATGAAAAAGACTCCAGCGAAGGGAATGGGACAGGCAGGGGAAAACAGAGTGTACTTAGTGGATGCGGCTTGGTGTCTGAGGGGGAACCGCACAGCCCCCGCACTCATTTCACAGTCGAAGGGTGTCTATCCTCCCAGAAGGTCTCTAACCGAGGCCTGGATGCCCCCCACATACTCACATTGCAGTAGATGCGCTTTTGCACCCCGTAGCGTAGTACCAGCACGTCGAAGGCTTGGTTCAGGACGCCCATCACCATGGCTTCCGACTCTAAGGGGCCACTCTCCTGCAGGGCAGGGCAGGGCAGGGCAGGGCAGGGCTGCAGCCAAGGCTTGGCCAGGGAGACATCCCCCCGGGGCCCACCCTGGCGGCTGAAGGCCCCTGGGATCCGCCAGGGCCTTTGTGAGCAGCTGCCAGGAGGGGAGGAGGGGCAGACAGAAGGGGAAGGGGTGTCAGGAAAGTGGCCTCACCTTGACCAGGATGGCAAAAAAGAGGCTGGTGCTGAGCTCATGCACGCGCTTGGCTGCCATGCGGCGGTCATTGCAGTGGTCGGCCTGCTTCTGCAGGACACTGGGTTCCACATCTGGCACCGCCCTGTAGCCTGGAGAGAGGGTGGTTGGGGGCGTGCTATCGGGGAGAGGGGTGCGGTACTCTGTGCATGGGTATGGCTGGGTGATGGGTGGAGTGGTACCCTAGGGGCCAGCTCCAGAGACTGAAAACGATGGGGCAGCCTTTGTTTGGGTTTCTAATACTCCCCTCCCCTCCCCCAAGGTGGCTTCCCCTATAGGGACACAAGGAAGAAGGGAGAGTTTCAGGTCCAGAGTCCGTGCTGCTGGAGCTTCCACAGCCATAGCAGTGAGCCTCTGGGCACCCACTTTGGGGGGTGGGCGGCCAGTAGCTGGCCACAGGCCTGCATTCCTGGGCTGCGTCTCTTACCGAGTGTAGCGGCCAGGAGACGGTGCACCATGACGTCTGCAAAGCGGCGGATGGGCGAGGTGAAGTGTGTGTAGAGTGGCACGTTGAGGGCATAGTGCCGGAACTGCTCCTGGTCCTGCAGCATCCCTGAGCAGAAGTACAGCGCCATCTAGGGGGATGGGCGGTCTTAGAACTTGGCTAAGCTGGGCAGGGCTGGGGCAGGGGCTCCATACCCCTTGCCCCCAACACTCCACCTTGTGCAGCCAAGGGAGGCAAGAGTTCACCAGCGTCAGTCCTTCTTGTCCCAGATAATCTGTCCTGGGGCCAAGACCCAGGTCTGAGTTCAAAAGGCCCTCAGGGCAGGGATCTGACTGAGGTACAGGAAGGGGCAGGCATTGCTCTGGGGCTCTGCAAACAGCCCCAGGCTGGAAGAGTCCTGTGCTCCTGGGAGCCCTGGCCACAGGCCTGAAGCTGCTGGCCCTGCTTCCCGAGCTCTCAGGGCTGGGAAACAAGGATGTGCTGCTGCCTGGGAGCCAATGAGCAGGTTCCTCATTGGAGCCAAAGTCACACCCTGTGTGTTCACTTGCTCCCCTCACGGGCTGCTTGCCACGCTCTCTCACCCTCACACCCTTCCGTGCGCTTACTCAGCCAAATGGTCAGCTGGCCCCGGTTCCTGTGTACGAGGCCCTGGAACCCAGGGCACAGCTGGTGGTGACCTGCTCAGCTCCCCAATTTGGCTTCTTTTCCAGCTCCTGCTGGGTCCTGGGTTATGTCTGGGGCAAGTCACAGGGGGAGGTGGGAGCTGCCTCCACTCTGAGCCAGTTTGTTCTCAGAGGTGGCCCAGTTCCCTAGATGAGCTGGGTGAAGAGGACAGAAGGCGTGGCTCCCTTCCTGGCTGGCAAAGGGTCTCTTGGCAGGGTGGGATAAGTGGGGGCTGTCGCTTTCCCACAGTGACCAGCCCTCCTTGGGACAGCCCTCGTGTCCTGTTTCAGCAGTTCACTCAGGACTTTCATGCTCACTGCTGCTCCCCTGCCTGGTCCCCCACCCCACCACAGTTTTTAGGGTTGGGAGAAAGGGACTCTAGACTGTCTGGTCACTCCCTGCCATCAGATCCCAAGGCAGAGGAAGGCCTCTGAGGTCACTGGCAGGAAAGGCCAGTCTTTTTCAGACTCAGGAAAGAGCTCCTTTTCATGGAGCTCCAGGGCTGGTTTGACTTTGGATGTGGATGGCTCTTGGGTCAGGGAATGGGGGCCTCACTGGTCCTGGATGGCACAGCCAGGGGGGCAGTTCTATGGCCTATGGGCAATTAGAAGCAGAGTAGTGTTGAGTCCAGTGGTCATAGGTACATTGCCCCCCCCACCCCCATGTGGGCTTTCAGGTGCTTAGTGTGGAGCAGGGTAAGGGCAGCTAGACCTAAACAGGCTCCGACAGCTCTGTCCTTGGCAGAGTTATAAGATGCCAGAAAATAAGTCACCTGTGGCCAGATGGGGCGATCTGGTTCTTGTGAAAAGAATGAATAGTGCTGAGTGACCAAGCCCCTGAAAAATGGTTTGTTACTGGCGCCCCCCCCCCAAGGGCTTCAGCCCAGAGATAGCCCCATCAGCATCCACAGCTCCTGCTGGCCTGACAGTCCACTGGGCTGGCTTCTTCCCAAGATGCTCGGGCTTGCAGGGGTTGAAGCTCAGCCTTAGAGGACTGAGAGGCTGCCAGCCTATCATCCTGCCTGCAGACACAGGCCCACAGTCTGACCTCTCTTCTCCTGGCTGGTGAGAGGGAGACTTCTCTCCCTGGTGTCCACAAGTTGCAGTGGGGGCTGAGGACCACTCCTCTGTACAGGATGCTTTGGGAAACTCTCTCCCCGCTCCAGGGTCCCCATCTGGTCATGAGTGCTGACCATCCCTATTCCCTTCCCCACCCTGGTCTGGTCTCTGAGCATTGGCACTGAAGGCTCGGTGCCGGCCCTATGGTGACTCCCTGTCCTGTGCCAGGGAACAGAGCCCCAGAGGCCTCACAAAGGGTCAGCAGGGCTCAAACTGGGTCCTCAAGCAGGTCCAGTCAAGCTGTCCTTTAGCAGATGAAGCAGGCAAGACTGGGCTGGAGGCAGATCAGGCTCAGCTCTGGACCCACCTGTCCCAGGGGACATCTTCACCACCCTTCCGCTCAAGTCCTCTGCATGTGCAGAAGTCATGGATGCTTCTGGGAGAAGGGGAGGATGGGGGACAGGCCCCTCCTTACCTGCATGGGCCGGGAGCACATGCTGGTGAGCACCTCCTTCCGGGCCAGTGAGTACTTGTCATCTCCAAATATTTCGGTTATACTTTTCTAGAAGCAAACCCATGTGATACGCAGTCAGGCTTTGGGAGAGGGTCTGGGACCCCTGTTACCTGCAGAGCATCTGAGAGCAGCTTCAGGGAGGGAGGATCAGTTGAGGGGCCCAACCCTGCTCAGACGGCCATGAGTGGGGCACAGGGGCTAGCAGCCCCCGCCTGTGTCCCACGCTGGGCTTGCTTCACAGGCAACTGCTCCAAGGTCATTCCTATCACTGGCAGTTGGCTGGCTTGGACAGTCTGCTTCCAGCTGTCTGACCCAAGATACCTCTGCACCCGCCCGAGGCGTGGGCACAGGTGGAAATAGTCTCCCTTCAGTGGGATCAGATCTGGGCACTGGAGTCCTGAACTCCTGGAGGCTTGGCTCGAGGCAGAACACCTGACACCACTTACTATAAAAGGCATGTTATGGCTTCCAGTGACCCAACCCCCACTGAAGGCCTCTGGGCCAAGCCAAGTCCATGCCTGGCTACAGGACCCCTCCCATGGGCTGAACCTCAAGTGACTTCCCTTGCCCAGTCCTGGTGGGAAGCACAGCCCGGGGCCAGAGCCTTGCAGGGGAAGTCCTGGCTGAAGAGGAACAAACCCTGGTGGAATACAGAGGCTGCTGCGCCCACAACACCGTCTTCCCTCCAAACAGGGCCTCTCTCTGCCTCCCCCAACTTCCCAGCCCCCAGCACTCACATTGAGGGCCCCAGAGGAGGTGAAGTCCATGGACAGCCCCATCTGGTCACAGAATTCCTCCAGGTCATTGAGCATCTTGGTCTGGGGTGGGGGGTGCCGGCGCAGCAGCGCCCTCTCGGGGTAGGCGCGGTAGATTTTGTGGGCCACTGCCATATTGGCCAAGAGCATGAACTCCTCCACGAGCCTGCAGGGGAGGAGCCGTCAGGGGCCAGGCCATTCTTTCTATCCCAGGCTCTCTGCTAGCTGGCCCTCTTGCACCCTCAGGCTCAGCCTAGAGATGCCCCCCTACCCCCATCCAATCTACTTTGTTCCTCAAGATGCTTTCTCTATCACACCCCTCATTGCACTAATCAGTCCACAAGACTCTTCTCTTTTGCAGTGTCAGCTTGGGCACTGTCTGCCCTACTAGACGGGGCTTCTGGAGAGCAGGCATGGGGTCTGTCCCATTCTCTGCTTCACCCCGGGACTTGGCAACCTGTCTGACTCACAGAAGGCACTCAGAGAAGATCTCTGTAAGAAAACAATGTTCCCCAAGAATCCAGAGGACTCCCTCTCTCCTTGGGGAAATGAGGATTTCTGAGGATGAACGGGAGAGTCCTCAAGACAGTAAGAGTGACCTCAAACATCCTGGGACAAGGCAAAGGTGCTGTTGGGGTGTTTAAACCCCAGTCAACCTCTTAGGAGTTAACACTCTAGTTCTGCTTCACTTTAGTATAATCAGGATCAACAATAAGTACGAAAAGATAAGGCTCAGCAAGGGCCCAGGGCGAGAAAGAGGACTGATGGAGGAGGAGGAAGTGTGCCAGAACTGAAGAGTCAGGTGAAGTGAGAAGCTGGATCACAGAGGCCTGAGGTCAGCAGCCCCACCCCTAATCTGAGGCAGCCTACATGTTGTTCCCCCACCTGGGCTCCCACGCATCATACGGATGGTACACAAGAGCTGAGCCTCTGAGAAGGGGGCTCAGGCATGTTCTGGTGCCATGGTGGCCAGGGTGCCCTGAGTGGGGAAAGTCTTGCCCAGAACGGAAGACTCTGCCCTGCCTTTAATCTGAACTCCAAGTTGCATGTCAGCCTGTGCTTCTCCCACCAAGACAGAGAGCTGAGGGAGGAAGCTCCGGCAGGCCGGGTAGTAGCTGGCAGCCCAGCTAGAACTTCCCCTTTCTGGGGAAGTGCTGCTGGGTTAGTTAGCCTTGTCACCCGACCAAGCTCTTGGAAAGAAAAGCAGCCAGGTGTGCTGTCTTTCCTGGAGCATGCCCTGCCTTTCTTCCCTCTCAGGCATGCCTCTCCTAAATTGTAAGGGTCCCCATGAGATTTGCAACCAAGGAAGCAATGCGCTGCGGCAGCGCATCCATCGGTCACTGAACACCCCCTGAACCTATCCCCAAGGCCCCCATTTCTCTGACTTTCCAGTGAGCTGATAGCAGCCCCCACCTTGGCTCCTCTCTTTCCTACAACATTCCTAGAAAGCCAAAGCAGCCCATCTAAGTTTTCTTCTGTTGCTTCTTTTATCCTAAGCTCTTCTTGTTTCACTGTCCCCAGCTTTCACAAATACACTCTCAAAATAAAAATTAAAAAAAAAGATCCCTGGCCGGTTTGCTCAGTGGTTAGAATGCTAGCCAGTGGAACCCCGAAGGTTTGCAGGCTCCATTCTCAGTCAAGGGCACATACTTCACACCTTGGTTGCAAGTTCGATCCCTGGCCCTGGTAGGGGTGCATGAGACAACCAATCAGCGTGTCTCTTTAACATCAATGTTTCTCTCTCTCTCCCCTGCTTCCCTTCCATTCTCTCTAAAAATTAATGGGAAAAGTATCCTTTGGAAAGGAAAGGAAGAAAGGAGAGGAGGGGGAGAGAGGGGGGGTGAAGGAGGGAGGGAGGGAAGGAGAGAGGGAAGGAGAAAGGGAGGGATGGATGGATGGAGGGAGGGAGGAAAGGGAGAGAGGGAGGGGAGAGGGAGAGAGAAAGAGAGGGAGTGGGGGAGGGAGAGAGGGAGGGAGGAAGAGAGGAGGGAGGGAAGAAAAGAGGGAGGGAGGAGGGAAGGAAGGAAGGAAGGAATGGAGGAAGGGAGGAAAGTAGCCAATGACAGGAGTGGGCCAGGCGGAGGGGGAGCCTGAGTGTGTGATGCCCCTCCCACCCCAGAATGAACATGCTTCAGCAGAAGTTTGGCTCAGGTTTACCAAGCTGTCCCAACAGCACATCTGTCTCTCCCAGAAGCCCTCTCTATAAGTCCTACACCCCTAGCCCCTCCTCTACAGGGACTGCTTTGGGCCGGCGCACTATGGGGCAGGATTACAACTTGGGTATAGGACACAGGCTTGGACCTCTGCTAGCCCATGTGCCATACAGGAAGCCAGTGCAGGGAATGGGAGTTTCTTCATTACCACTGAGATGCCCTAACAGCCTTTAAAGTGGCCTCTTAATCCCCCTTCCCCCCCCCCCCCCCCCCCCCCGCATCTGTCCTGGAGCACATTACTCCCTGTGGAAAAACCCTTGAGTTCAAGCACCTGAAACCCAAGCACCAAAAATAATCTCCTCAGATGAAATCTTTACCTGGTTCCACGTGCTTTTTTTTTTTTTTTTTTTTGAAAGAGACATCAATTTGTTGTTTCACTTATTTATGCATTCATTGGTAATTCTTGTATGTGCCCTGACCAGGGATTGAACCCACAACCTTGGCATATTAGGACTATGTGCTAACCAACTGAGCTACCCTGCCAGGGCTCACATGCTCTTGCTGGAGGACCCTGAACAAGTCACGGTCCCTTTCTGACCCTCCTTTTTCTCAAATGTAGAAAAGGAATAATAATAAACAGCACTTCTTCACACTGGAATAATACATATTTTAGGGCCAATCCTGTGTCTCAAGACACAGGGAGTGCTTTCCTCTCTCCCTGCCCTCCATGCCAAGTGACCAGCCTGGGTGTCTCTGTGATTTTCATCCCTGCCATCTGTCCCCCTTCCTCACCCTTGTCATACCTTCCCTAAAGGTCCAGGCTGCTCTCCGTCACTTGTGTCACAGTCTAGCGTCACCTAATGCTTCATATTTGGTTTTCTTATTGGGATTTTGTCAACCCAAGAGGAGTCTCAATTCCTGCTCAATAAATGTCTGATTTATTGTCTTCTCTTGGTCAGACACTGCAGGCCATCACCTCCTAAATTCTTCAGATACATATATATTCATTCACTCGTTTGTTCACTCAACGAACATTGCTGTGTGCTAGGCAGGTCTAGGCTTGTCTTCCCATGCAGTCAGAGAATAGTTGTGGTTTTGGAATCCCCTGTCTCCAGTCTACCAGCAATCTAGGGTGAAGACTCTGGGTTGCATTTTGCCATTATGGCCAGCAGGGGGCAGCATGTCCCCACAACAGGGCTGTAGGGCAAAGTATTGTAGCAAAGCTGAGATGGGGTGCCTTCAGCCTGTCCCCTCACTGGGCTCTCCCCTCCTGGATCCAAGGAACTGAATGTTTGGGCAGCCTCCCCAGGCAGAGCCAAGCTCCTGTTCCCAGTTCTTGCCTTAGTTCTCTTCTTATTCTCTTTAAAAAATATTTTTATTGATTTCAGAAAGGGAGAGGGAGAGAGATAGAAACATAAAAGGTGAGAGAGAATCATCAATTGGCTGCCTCCTGCACACCCCCTACTGGGGACTGAGCCGGGCATGTGCTTTTGACAAGAATCTAACCCTGGACATCAGTCTGCAGGATGATGCTCTATCCACTGAGCAAACAGCTAGGGCCCTGCCTTGCTTCTCAAGGTCTTCAGGTAAGGAGAATAGGAGAGGAAGGAGGGGGAGGAGAGGGCCAGTGTCCAAAGCCACAGACTGACACAGACCCCAGTCAAGCTGTTCTCCAGTGACCCCACTCCTTGTCCTCTCTGGACCCCCTCTAGGTAGACCAGAGGCTGGTGAGAGAAAAACAAGTGTGCTCTTATTGACCTTGAGAGCAAAATTAGGTAAAGCTTTGGATTTAGAGGCCAACCTTGGACAGGGCGTTGGTGCCTTTGGGGGGCTCCGATTCTCTCTGAGTGTCTCGGCCCCTCCCTTGCAACAGAGTGACAGGAGTTAGGAGGGAAGCCTGTGGAATCCCCTCAAATTATTTCACTGACATCAAACATTCATCCCAGAAAAATATCAATGTCACCAAACTGGGAGGCTGTGCAGTATTAAGCCCAGTTCCCTTAGTGCCACCATGGCTCATTAGTGTTTTAGCACAGCTGCACGGACCATTTCCCCACAACCTGTCCTTACAATTCTTCTTATACCAGCAGGTGGGAGGGGGAGGAGAAGGAGAACCTGCCAACAAGTGAGCATGAGAAAGCAGGAGTGAGGCCTGGAGAGCCCTGGTGATCAAGCCCGGGGATGGCTGGGAGAGGTGCAGCACAGACAGAACTAGGTCCCCAAGGACTGCAGAAACAGAAAGGCCAAGGAAAAGCCAAGCGCCAGCAACCAGATTCCAGAATTCAGGATTCACCGTCAAAACTTGGCAGGCACCACAGGAGGGAGAACTGGGCTGGCCAGGGCGAGTGTCACAGGTCCCCCACGGGTCAGTTCCCTAGAAGGACCGGCAGGGGGCCCCCAACATCTCCCTCCCACAGGACCTGGGACGTGGCAGAAGCATCTTAGAACCCAGGAACTTCTGAGTAGGAAAGGGCATCTGTTTATAAGCTGCCCAAGGTCCAGGGTCTCTGGGCTCCCATTTAGTGTTTTTCCTTCATCAAAGCCAGCTCTGGGGCTGAAGTCAGGGAAAGGGGACAGCAGGGTTATCACAAGAGGAGCTCTGACAGCTGACCCCATCAGCAACACCCCTTCTTTTTCCTCTTTTGGGGACGGCAGTGCTGTATTCACAGGCCCACAGCCAGGCCTTAGATGACGTCCCGAGCTGTTCTGGGTGGTTAGGACACACCTCTGAGAGTGAACTGCACACACTGGGGTCTGGGAACCCCAATGGAGATGGAGCCCTCCCCCTCCCATCCCACCACTCATGGCACAGGCATGAGATCACTCAGTCCTGCTGGGGGAAGGGGGCGGGTAAGCTGGAACTCAGCAACTGCCTGACAACTGCTCTAAATAGGGGCTCAGGAATGGCCGCCAGCCAGCATCACCTTCCAGAACAGCAAGCCAAGCCCTCAGAGATGAGGCCTTAGTCTCAGGCCTGGCATCTGCTGAGCATCTGGAGCAAGTGCTCCTGGGG